ATTGTTCTCTCTCTCTCTCTCTCTCTCTCTCTCTCTCTCTCTCTCTCTCTGAGTGTGAGCACTACTGTACCTACACATCTAGAGTTGTTATTGTCGTGATGAGCACCAGCACGCGCCCTGTGTTACATCCAGGTTCCGACCAACCGACCTCCGACCGACCGCTCTACGGTTAGCTACTGTCTCTCCCGTCTACTGTTACCTTTTCTCTTAGCGCAGCTGTCAGTTTTCAAAATCGATATTTGCTGTTTAATTCACTCATTTTTATTAGTTGACGACCGTAGTCGTAAAACCTAACAGCTTGATGAGGGTGCTTAGAGCACATGAGCGTGGTAAACTACACACTACACACCGTACCATTCATAACCAGCACGCATTTCGACAACACACACACACCACCGGATATTCAAAACAATACTGAAATTCGATATGAGAGAATTTAATATGCCCTACTAATTCTCGTTGGGGGTTTTTTTTTCTCGACTAAAATTATAACTCGTTTATAAACGGACATTGCTTGTAGTCTTATTAATATTTTTTCATAACTACTTTATTAACTTCTATTGCTCGTAGTCTAGATAGTATTTCGCAAATGAGAATAGTTTGCAAGTAGCAACACATAAATGTCATTATGGCAACATCAGTGGCACCTAGAGTGCTTGTGAATCACGCAACCCGCTTTCTTGGAACATAAAACACCGTTTGGTTATGACCTATATTTTGTCAATAAAAAATAGGCCCACATAGAATAAATAATAAATAAATGAATTTCCTATAAACAAAATGTCATATGCGCGGAGTGTATCCGTGGCGGCAGATGGTGTTAATGTATACATTCACGACACTGCCACCGTCGGCGACAGCAACAACAACTCTAGTGGTCGGGGGACATTGTGATATGTGCAAAATAAATACAGAGATAGCATAGTCTGGATATCTAGATAAAGACACTCGCTAGCACTCTCTGTTGACAGCTGTAGCACCAACACAAACTAAAAACAATGGCAACAAGTTCGGTCATAATCTGTGCCGTTTTTCTTGAAAATGCCACATGTGCCCCGTATTTTAAAAAATAGGCCTAGATCTAGATTCTATGTCTTATCTATAAAAAAATCCCAAACTGCAAAAAAACAAAAAACAAAACGAAAACAAAAAAGAACCTCCAAAAACAATAACCAAAAATACCCCCT